TCCGTAGATAACATTATCTACGGAAAATTCCGTAGATAACGTTATCTACGACCATTTTATCTACGGATTTTTTTCCGTAGATAATCCGTAGATAATTGACATTTATCTACGGATTTTTATGTTTATCTACGGATTTTTCCGTAGATAATCTTGATTTTTCTTGTAGTGTATTCATCTTTCTCACCGCAAATACACACTGGATATACTTTCTGATTGTGGCATGCTTGCTTCTTGTCCTGTTGCTACACCCATGGATTATTCCACTCGTTTGTTTGCCACCACTGGTACCCCCTTATGAGATCCTTCTGCTTATCGTAGATTGATTGGTCGCCTCATCTATCTCACAACAACACGCCCTGACATCACTCATGCAGTTCATCATCTGAGCTAATTTATTTCTGCTCCTACCACGGCTCATTCACAAGCTACCTTTCGTATTTTGCGATATTTGAAACAAGCTTCTGGCTCGGGAATTTTCTTATCTGCAACCAGCTCCCTTCAACTTAAGGCGTTCAGTGATTCAGATTGGGCTGGTTGCCTTGACTCTCGACGTTCAATCACTGGGTTCTCTGTTTATATTGGTGATTCACTCATTTCATGGCGTTCAAAGAAGCATCGCACTGTCTCTTGAAGTTCCTCTGAGGCTGAGTATCGCGCACTTGCTGCCACCACTTGTGAACTTCAATGGCTTGCTTATCTTCTTGCTGATCTTCATGTTTCTCTTCAGCGTCCGACTCTTCTTTATTGTGATAATCAATCAGCTGTCCAAATAGCTGCAAATCAAGTCTTCCATGAGCGTACCAAGCATATAGACATCGATTGCCACCTTGTTCGCGAGAAAGTGCAATCTGGTTTAATCAAACTCCTTCCGATATCATCTTCTCATCAGCTTGCTGACATCTTCACTAAGGCCTTATTACCTTCCAAGTTTCATGCGTTGTTTTCCAAGCTGGGCATGCTAAACATATATTCCCAGATTGAGGGGGGGTCTCAACAATAATTGGTTATTTTATATATAGTTTGTTGTAACCGTTCACGTGATTTTTCTCTTTCTTCGTTTTGTATTCTTTTTCTTCATTTTGTATATATATTTTTGTGTACTGTTCACGTAATCATAGAAAGAGGCACAACTTTGTTATCCTTTCTCTCTTTTAGCAAATATCCTACTGCTTTTCTTCTGATATGTCTCTCACTCTCACTCTCACTCCCCCTCTCTTCTTCTATCCCTCTCTCTCTCGCTCCCCTTCCATTTCTCTTTCTCCCTCTCTCTCTCTCCCCCTTACCATATCTCTTTCTCCCTTTCTCTCTCTCACTCCCCCTCTCTTCCAGTCTCTCTCCCTCCCCTTTCATTTCTCTTTCTCCCTCTCACTCCCCCTCTCTTCTAGTCTCTCTTCCTCTCCTTTCATTTCTCCTTCTCCCTCTCTCCCTCTCTCTCTCTCTCTCCCTCCCCTTCCATATCTTTTCCTCCCCTCTCTCTGTCTCTCTCACTCTCACTCCCCATCTCTTCCTCTCTTCTAGTCTCTCTTCCTCTCATATCTTTATTTATTTCTCTTTCTTGTATCTCATTATTTCTTAACCTTGTCAATTTTAATAATATTACTTAAATGAAATGACAATATATTTTTGTCCTTCTTATTTTTAATATAACATTTTTATTTGTTTATTTCTTTTGTTGAATTTTGTATGTGCATAATTTTAACTATAAGTTTTCAACTTTTTAAAATAATTTAATGTCATACTTGTAATAGGATTTGAGTTAATAAATGTATCTAATAAAATATTTTAATAAAGGATATTTTTATAAAATATTTATATATCCAAAAATATACTATTGTGATCAAATATAAAAATCTTTAACTCCTAAGAATCATATATGAATATTCTCATAAATCTTTATGTGTAACCAAACATATTTTACTTATTTCTAGAAATTATGATTGGTGAAATTTGAGATTTGCAGGAATCATCATTTTGAATATAAAAAAATTCTTCCCTACAAACACTCCCTAAAAATTAAAATGATTTTTTATTATAATTTTAGGGTCGAATTTGACATTTTTTTTTCCAGAAATTCATTAGTCTATGAAATAATTAGACTAGTATGAAATACAAAATGTTAAATTTATTAGAAAATATTTCACAATTATGTTAAGCAAAAAAATACATACATTAGAGAAATTAATAGTCGGAAAGTTTTCTTCTAATACATTGAAAATAAGTGTAAATACTTATATCAACATCTTAAATAAACGTTAATGAAATATAAATTATTTATAACAAATTAAAACAATTTTATTTTAAGTTATTAGTATTCAATTTCATCGGTTTGTATCTAATTTAATTAATTTTTTTTATAATTTATATTATTCAATTTTTTTTTATTTTTTTGTATCCCACAGCATTTGTTCTAGAGATTGGACTTAATCTCTACATACCCAATGCTTGAGATTAGGGGTAAGTGTATTCTCCCGACATGATGCTACGACTGATTGGAGTCTCTATCACACCCATAATTTGACGAAAGCTCTTGGTGGAAAGAGCAAAAGAGTCTTTTAATATTTCTTAATCTCTCCATTAATGCTCATATTTGATAATCCAATAATAATGCATGTGATCTTGTGATTTTTTGCAGGAGATCATAGATATCTTGAAACCCATAAATGCTGTATGAATGGACATAAAACCACAACCTAGTTAGTTACCTAGGGAGACTAAAAAGACATGTTACAAAATTTGAATATGATTAAATTAAAATAGATAACATCTCAATATTTTAATAACTAATTATTCATTTATTTTACAAAAGTTTAGATTAGTCCATTGATTCTTGTGCTTCTGTGCTTGTCAAACAAAGAAGAAAAAAAAAATACAATTTTGAATTAAAAATAATTGGAAAATATATAAATAAACTATATACAAAAGTATTCATCACAAAAAAAAAACTATATACACAAGTCCTTTTTTTTTAAAAAAATAAATAAAACAAAAGGCATAATTAAATTTGCATGTACTTCGAATTCGGATCAATGAGACATAATTAGAAATGTAATATCGTTTCGCAATTTATTTTGGTTAAATTACAATTAAATATTTTTATTTTAAAATAAAGTCACTAGAATTGTGTGTATAAAAAAATTAGAGGAATGAAGAGTACAACTTTGCCATTACCTTTTTATATTGTGCTGACTCCTTTATCTTTTTGGTTGTACACAAGTTTCACGCATCTTCTTTTGAATTTTGGAATAGTAGCTTTTATATTTCAGTTTTATTTTATTTGACAGCTTTTAATTTTCCCAAGTAATTTGGCGTATTTTCTTTACAAAATTGTTTTTGGGTACTGTACTGGCCTAGCCAAGTTGTGAACTCATCCCTTACCAAGTTGCCCAACTCGGTCAAAGGTTTACCAACCTGACCAAGCAGTAAACTCATTATTGCCCACGAAACATAGACATCAGAATGTCACATCGATCCAAAGAGGCTACGTCATCAGACAGGTAAAAATACAATATTGTCACCATTCGGCAATTACGAGGTTAAATCCTAAAATTGCCAATATGCCAGTAGACAGTAAAAACCCTAAAATCACCAAGGTATGTCTGCTATATATACGAGACATCTACACTATCAAGTACTAACTTTAACATCAGAATCTCTTTTGCAAGTACCACCCCCATCTTGGAGCGGACAACCTACGAACCAGGGGAGGCTTACCAATCTCATCAAAGAGATCGTCACCGATCCAATCTCAGGTGAGAACATCTTGGCACCGACTGTGGGGCCGAAAATAATTCCTTTCTTTTGGCCAATCTTATGGTTTCTACCCGAAGCCATAATAGAAGAGTAACAAACGACACAACTGAGAACGTGCCAAGGATGGAAGGAGACGCGACAATTCGACGTTTGATCGAGTAGATCGAACAAATGCGGCGACAAAGTACAAAAGTTCTTGAAGCTATGCGTGCCCAGCACCAAGCTGACCAGGTGGCTCTGCACGTAGAAAACGAGCACATTCGTGCCCAATTTCACCAACAACCCCCCAACCAACCTTCTCAACAGAACAATCACCATGAGGAGGAACAACAATCACCCTCTTCGTCGCCGATGTCACATCGGTCACATGCGCCGATGCATCACTCTGGTCACGAGGTCAACCATGTAACCACCCAAGCTTTCCCACATCGGTTGGGTGTCAGACACCATCCTTTTGTTGACGGCATCACGAGGACACCTCTCGCCTTAGGTTGGAAGTCTCTGAACATCGACCGTTATGACGGATCGTCCGATCCAGATGAGCATATTGACGCGTACGTCACACAGATGAACCTGTACACTAATGACAACGCCCTAATGTGTCGGGTTTTCCCAAACTCGTTGAAAGGTCCAACACTCACTTGGTACACTCAATTGCCAATAGGATCGATAAATAATTTTGAGACCTTGATGAGATGATTCACAACACAATACCCGACGAGTTGACCTCATAACATCACGTCTGCTGCCCTAGCCAACCTCAAGCAAGGCGAGAACGAGTCGTTAAGAAAATTCATGGAGCGATTCGCCAATACGTCCATCCAGATACGTAACCTCAATCCTGAAGTCGCCTTGCACTCCATGCTCATGGAGTTGAAGCCAGGACCTTTCGTCGACAGCCTTTGCTGACGACCTCCTCACGACATGGACGAGCTTCGAGCTCGCGTTGCTGGGTACATCCAAATGGAGGAGCATGCCGAGTTTCGCGAGGCAATTCGCGGCAAACCACAAGGAAAGCAAGACCAAGGTCAGGCCACGAACATTTAGAGTTGGCGACCTTGTCTGGCGATTACGGGGAGAAGCAAGAACAAACCCCTCCGAAGGGAAATTTGCAACTAACTAGGAAGGACCATTCATAGTCACCAAGGACCTCAATAATGGTGCATATCGGTTGGAGGAACTCGGGGGCAAAGCTCTCCCAAGAACTTGGAATGCCACCCACCTCAAATTTTATTTCTCTTAAATTGTAAATTCAGGTGATGTGCTCTTTTTCCTCCTCAGCCTTTTTTCCCATTGAAAGAAAGAAAAGAGTTTTTGGCCGAGGAAGGTTTTAACGAGGCACAGCCAAGAAATATCAACAAAGTAACTTTATTCCCACATACTTTTAGTATTGGCACACTAGCGTCTAAAATCACGACAAATTACCAAGGTCAAATCTGAACCTTGATGACGCATCCTCCTAGCCAAGGTCGAATTCGAATCTTGATGTTATATTTACGCGGCTAAGGTCGAGTTTGAACCTTCATGTGCCAAGGTCGAGTCTGAACCTTGAGAATACATTTTCTTAGCCAAGGTCGAGTTCGAACCTTGATGTGCCAAGGTCGAGTCTGAACCTTAAGACTACATTTTCTTAGCCAAGGTCGAGTTCGAACCTTGATGAGCCAAGGTCGAGTTCGAACCTTGAGATTACATTTTCTTAGCCAAGGTTGAGTTTGAACCTTGATGTGCCAAGGTCGAGTTTGAACCTTGAGTTTACATTTTCTTAGCCAAGGTCGAGTTTGAACCTTGATGTGCCAAGGTCGAGTTTGAATCTTGAGGTCACATTTTCTTAGCCAAGGTCGAGTTCGAACCTTGATGTGCCAAGGTCCAGTCCGAACCTTGAGACCACATTTTCTTAGCCAAGGTTGAGTTCGAACCTTGATGCGCAAAGGTCGAGTCCGAACCTTGAGACTACATTTTCTTAGCCAAGGTCAAGTTCGAACCTTGATGAGCCAAGGTCGAGTCCGAACCTTGAGATTACATTTTCTTAGCCAAGGTCAAGTCCGAACCTTGAGATTACAATTTCTTAGCCAAGGTCGAGTTTGAACCTTGAGATCACATTTTCTTAGCCAAGGTCGAATTCGAGCCTTGATGTGCCAAGGTCGAGTCTGAACCTTGAAATCACATTTTCTTAGCCAAGGTCGAGTTCGAACCTTCATGTGCCAAGGTCGAGTTCGAACCTTGAGATCACATTTTCTTAGCCAAGGTCGAGTTCGAACCTTCATGGGCCAAGGACGAGTCTGAACCTTGAGACTACATTTTCTTAGCCAAGGTGGAGTTCGAACCTTGATGAGCCTAGGTCGAGTCCGAACCTTGAGATTACATTTTCTTAGCCAAGGTCGAGTTCAAACCTTGATGTGCTAAGGTCGAATTGAAGATCACATCTACTTAACAAGGTCGAATTCGAACCTTCAAACAAAAATTGTGTTGCCAAGGTCGAATCCGTACCTTGGTGTTATATCCATGCAATGAAGGTCGAGTTCGAACCTTTTAATAAGATTTGTGTACTGGCCTAGCTAAGTTGAAACTCGTCCTTTACCAAGTTGCTGACCTACGCCAAAGGTCTACCGACCTGATTAAACAGCAAATTTGGAGCTCCTTAAAAGCCCCTTTGCTCTTATATTACTCGGTGCTTGGGGGGCAAGTGTACTGACCTAGCCAAGTGGTGAACTCGTCCCTTACCAAGTTGCCCAACTCGGTCAAAGGTTTACCAACCTGATCAAGCAGTAAACTCATTATTGCCGAGCTCCTCAACTCGACCATGAAACATAGACATCAGAATGTCACATAGCCCAAAGAAGCCACGTCATCAGACAGGTAAAAATACAATATTGTCACCGTGCCGCAATCACGAGGTAAAACTCTAAAATTGCCAATATGTCGGTAGACAGTAAAAATCTTAAAATCACCAAGGTACATCTTCTATATATACGAGACATCTACACTATCAAGTACTAACTTTAGCATCGGAGTCTCTTTTGCAAGTACCACCCCCATCTTGGAGCGAACAACCTGCGAACCAAGGGAAGCTCACCAATTTCATCGAAGAGATCATCACTGATCCAATCTCAGGTGAGAACGGGTACAATTATCACCTTTAACTTGTTCACTTTTTTTTTAGGAATATGGTATCATGTTATAATACTACGGTTGTTAAAAGATCTAATAAAAGGAAATTTTCTCTTGATGTATATAATTTTAATGATTTTATTTTTAAATTTTTAAATAATAAAAAGTAATATTAAAAATTAATTATTTTTATAAATATAAAACTCAAATTCAAGATATTTAAATTTGAAGACCAAATATAATACCAATTAATCAACTAAACATTGATAATTTTTAAATATTTTTATTAAATAAAATATAAAAACACAGTATTTTGACCTCACCAATTATTAATAAAGAATTTTCCATCTCTTTATATACATTTAGGTTAAATCATTTAATTTTTTTTACTATAACTAAACATCTCTCTAATTATAACTTTTATTTTATTTTATTTATTACTTAAATAAAAAATATGAGATATAAAATATCTTTTTTTTTATCAGTCATAATCATAGTAATATTGATTGTTGTGAGAAATTTTATTAGCCTTTTATTTGATTACAAAATATTTAGATTAGGACAAATCATGATTCTATGCATGACTAGAGTTAATCACTAGTCTCTTTAAAAATTTTCACTAAAATCACGAGTCTTAGAAATTTTATTATAAAGCAAATAAAGAAACTTTATTAGCTATTATTTTATAATAATTTTACTTATTATGTGTATCAATTGTTAATTATTATTATCATAACATGTTTTTTATTTGTTATTATCAACCCATATATATATATATATAAAATATGAGTCATTATTAATATAAATAAAAAATATTTTTTATAATATAAATTGTTTATCATAAATTTACAATATAATTTATATGTTTAAAAATATGTGTATATTTATTTTAAATATAATTTATATATCTAAATATAATATTTTTTTATATAATTTATTATAAATTTTAATTATATTATGTATAAACTAAAATTCTAGTTATTTTATAATTGGCGATTCAACTGTATTAAAACTATTTATCGTTTTGCAATTGAAATTAAATATGATTATTCGGCCATTAAATTTATTTGAATTATAATAATAGATAATTATTACAATAAATGTTTCAATTCAATTGTAATTATTACATAGCATAATTAAATTTCAATTTTCATCCGATTGTTATATGTGATTAGGACCGACTTAAAATTTTTTTCTATGATCTTTTAATTTTATTTGAATACGTTTTACTGTTCATTTATATAAATGGTCTTTCTCTTTTTTATCAATTATTTTGTGTCTAATCATTCACACGGAATTTTTATATATAATAATTTTGTTTGCATATATATGAAATTTAGGTTGTTAGATATTTGTACATACGATTAATGTTATTTGAGAATAAGTTTTTCATAAATATTAGTTTTTTAGTAAAAAATTCTTATAAGGTAAAAAATAATTAAATCGCTTGTAGAATACAAATTAAAGTTGTTAGTATGTAAATGATAAGAGTTTAATGTAACGTAGTTAGTAACTCAGAACGGGCCGTTCCAAACTACTAAAATAAGGGTGATTTAGTAGTCCAGAACGGGCCGTTCCCAAAATGGAATAAGCTGTTCCAAACTACTAAATAGGCCTATAAATCCTAGTTGAGAATGGGCCGTTCCAAACAGGGTCGTTGTGAGTAAAATGCAACCCCAAAATGGGCCATTCTAGTTTGAGAACAGGCTATTCTGCATGTGAATTTTACACATGACGTTTGAGTCCAGAACGGGCCGTTCTGGATTGGAAACGGGCCATTCTGGCCACTCCAGACTTCAATAAATAGGCCACATGAGGAGAAAGAAGGGGAACTTAGAGAGAGGTTTTAGAGAGAAGTTTTAGAGAGAAGGACTCTAGGTCTGTGAGCTCCTTTCTTTACCAAATTTCTCTGTATGATTCTTCTTCTCCTCTAGATCAATAGTGTCTTCTGTCTTTTCTTGAAATTCAGACTAGGAAGCTTGCTTTGGGTGGATTGAAGTTTCTGGGTTGAGCTTCGAAAAGGAATTCTACTTCTTCTCAGTTCTTGGCCATTTTGAACCAATTTTCAGGTGAGGAAAGCTAGAATGTTTGCCGTTTATTTGCATGTGAGTTTAGTGACTTAATTGATGCATGAAAGTCGAGGATCCATGGCTAGATCGAAAAATTTGCTCATTTTTTTGGGGTTTTGGAAAAAATGGGGTTTTTGGTGATTTTGATGCATCGAATGGGTGCATGTTGATTTTGAGTTTGTTTTTGTGTTGTATGGAGCCTATGCATTGTGTTTTTATGTTTGCATGTGGCTGGATTTACTGGTTTGGATGAGTTTTTGAATACGTTTTACTGTTCATTTATATAACTAGGATTAGACTGGGCGTAGGTTGAGCGCCCCGGGCATGGAAGAGCTTAGGGCTCTTAGGTTGGATGTTAGGCCGGGCGTGAATTGGTTGCGCTGGGCATGAGTGGGTTTGATGTTTTTGGATTGAAATTGATGCTCATGCATGTTTAAAGTTGAAGTTTTAGATCATGTATGTATGATATATGATGTATGGTGAGGTGTGATTCATATGTATGCTTGGTAATGATATATATGAATGTTTGAATATGATATGGCATGATTATATGTTCATATGAGTATGATTATTGATCATGATGGTGGGTAGACCATGTATGATGTATGATGCATTATTGCATGTGATGCCTTATGGCATGTGTATGATTGTTGATCATGATGTTGGGTAGACCATGTATGATATATGATACATAATTGCATGTGATGCCTTATGCCATGAGTCTAGCCTAGGACTTGAGGAGAGAGAAAATATTTTCGAACTGGAAGAGCTCACATAGAGTCTCTTGAGAGTGGTGCTTGGATAGGCCACTGATATATGAGAGTAGTGCTCAAGTAGGCCACTAGATTTGGGTGAGAGTGGTGCTCAAGTAGGCCACTAGGTTGGGTGAGTCTCCTCTAAGTCCTTAGCTAGTGTTGGAGCGGAGTATGAGGTTGAGGGTTATTCCCTTAACCAAGTACTGGGGAAGGTGCGTGGATCCTTGCGGATAGTCAGTGGGCGAACTCCACAAGTGACTTGGTAATGCATGCCAAGGTCGTGGTAAGCCTGTACCCAGCTATGCTATACCTGACGGTGGATCCGGACTTCCAATTGTGTAAGTGACATCATCCGAGTAAACTTGAGTGAGGATTTTTATCCTGTTTAGCTATGACCGAGCGGGCGCATTAGGCATGAAAACAGTTGGGGTGGTTTCGATAGGATTGGGATGTCACTTACACTACTCTATTGTTAGGGAGATCTCCTAGGTGAATGCGTGACGACACATTAGTTGATTGATATGCATTGATATCTATCATGAGTTGCATGTATTGCATGATTGTTATGATGATGAAGTGTATGGTGTTTGACTTCATGTTTGATGAATGGATGATTGATTGAGATGGAAGTTCATTTGGGACTTGATTTGGATGCATGTGTAGTATAGATTTTATTATGTACTTGTATGATTTCTTTTTGAACTCTAGCTTACCCTTCTGTTTCCATGTGGATGGACTACGATGATCATACTTTGTATGGGAGCAGATTAGGGCTAGCTTGGAGTTGAGGTCTGCTGCCAGACGAGGAGTTTTGTTCTAATGTTAGAGTTACTTGCTGGGGTAACTGTTGTTGTGCTTGATCGACACTAGGGAATATTATTTTGGATGACTGTACATATATATAGTGTTATAATTTGTTTTTAGAAAAAGTTATTATTATATTTTATATACCCTGTATGTATGAGTTGTCACATTTAATATTTCTCTTAGTTCACTAGTAGTAGTGCGATTTCACTAAGTGTAGAGACCATGGCGGGTCGTTACACTTTTATGGTATCAGAGCCGGTTGAGTCTTTTGGATACTCTGTGGGGAGTGATCCTTCTAGGTTTCTGTTGTGTTATATCTCTGATATGTGTTAGTTTTGGTGATATATGGTGGTATAGTGTTACTAAACAAATGTTTTGGATTCTTTCAGTATGGTGAGGCCTTAGTATGATCAGATCGCTAGGGCCATGGAGATGATGGCCATGGCGATGCAGCAGTAGAGTGCTCACTTTGCTCAGATGGGGGTGTCGCAACCCAAAAATTTCTGATCTCGCGACCTATGGTTTAAACATCCTTTTGAAAATCTCATCAACTAAGGAATGCCCGGACACCAAACTAATCCTTAATTAATGGTTTTGAAAATAGGTTCATGGAGTTGCCACCAATGTTTTACTCAAAACATTGGAAAAAGAAAAGTTTTTTTTTAAATTCCAATAATGGCCTTGATAACCAGAATTGGGTTCGAGGGTCGGTTACGTGTAATGAAGGTACTAAGCACCCCTAAAACGCCTTAAATTAGTACCCTATGACGAAGATAGCATAATAGGAATTAATAATCTAAATATTTAGTCCCCTTTATGAATTGTTATTTACATGCTTAAATTTAAATTAAGCGATTGACCCTAAAATGTATACATGGCTACTTTTATTATAACATTTAAAATAAAAGAAGTGAAAGATGGAGCAAGAGATTGATGAACAATACCTCGTAGCAAGCTTTATTAGATCATCAACTATGGAGACTTTTAGGCGCTTTTTGACTACCTTTCACACTACAGTATGCCTCACAAAACTCAAGAAATACAATAGGAAGGAGAGAGAGAGAAATTTTGAGCTCTAAAGAGTCTTGAACGAAATTTTGTCGCCCTGAGAACTTTTCCAGATTCTGCTATTTATAGACATCAAAAAGTTGCCAAAACGGCTCGTTCCAGATTCAGAACAACCCGTTCTGGATCTGTATGTTATGTGTTAATTTCATATCTCGGAACGACCCATTCTGAAACCAGAACGACCCATTCCAAAGGTGAGTTTAACACATAACTGCCTATGCTGGAACGGCCCGTTCCAAACAAAGGTTTTAGGCCTTTTTTGTAACTTGGAACGACCCATTCCAGTTTAGGAACGACCCGTTCCAGACTTAGGTTTTAGCTTTTTTTAGGAGCTTTTTAGGAACGACCCGTTCCAAACTAGGGTTTTAGGCCGTTTTTGTAAATTAGAACAACCCGTTTCAATTTTGAAACAGCCCGTTCCAGGCTACTAAAACCAACTTATTTGGGCTTTAGGCTTTCTGATGTCATGTCCTGTTATTTCCAGGCTTCAGGAGCTTCTTTCCTTCGATAATGGAAGTCCATTTCCTTGTATGTATGAAATTGGGTGTCTACAACTGCCTCTCTTTACTTGTCCTTTAGAATAGCTATGTGTTGCTTTTCCGAAGGCAAGTAAAGACGTAGACATTTCATTCGGGCCTTCTCCTCGTCTCTTTGGTGTTGGCGCTTCTACGTTTGTTTCCCTTGGATAGGTGTATTTGCTCGTATCCTCGCCATTTAGAGTAGTTGAGTGTTGGTTGCGTACTTTATTAGGTAACAAGGGTGACAAATTGTACACCTGATCTTCAGTCTTCAAGTAGATGCTCCATTATTTCTCTTGTGATAGTTCGTTCTTTTATTCATGGCTTGTTGAAGAGGGAGTATTATTATGCCAGCCTCTCTAGGCCGGTTTTTGATGCTGAGTATTGTTGTGCCGGCCTCTCCAGGTTGATTGCTGATGGTGAGTATTGTTGTGCCGACATCTCCAAGCCGGCTACTGATGTTGTGAGTATTGTTGTGCCGGCCTCTCCAGGCTGCCTGCTGAATGCTGAGTATTATTGTGCCGGCCTCTCCAGGCCGCTTGCTGATGTAGTGAGTATTGTTGTGCTGGCCTCTCCAGGTCGCTTGCTGAATACTGAGTATTGTTGTGTCGGCCTCTCCAGGTCGCCTACTAAACATTGAGTATTATTATGGCAGCCTCTCCAAGCTGCCTACTGAATGCTGAGTATTATTATGGTTGACCTCTCCAGGCTACCTGCTGAATGTCGAGTATTATTATGCCTGGTCTCTCCAAGCTGGCTACTGATGGTGAGTATTATTATGCCTGGCCTCTCTAGGCTAGTTGCTGATGGTGAGTATTGTTATGCCTGGCCTCTCCAAGCTGGTTGCTGATGGTGAGTATTGTTTTGCCGGCCTCTCCAGGCTACCTACTGATGGTGAGTATTGTTATGTTGGCCTCTCCAGGCTGACTGCTGATGGTGAGTATTGTTATGCCTGCCTCTCCAAGCTAACTGCTGATGGTGACTATTGTTATGCCGACCTCTCTAGGATGGCTGCTAATATTGTAATTTGATTGTCGCTTTTCTTTGGTGAGGATGTCTAATGAAGATGAGGATTGCTGGTAGGTGGTGCCCTTGTGCTGGTGGGCAAATGAGTAGATGGGTGATAGGGATTCTGGCGGTGCCCCTCCCATGTGAGTATTGTGATGCCTCTCCAGGTGTTTGCTTGTGGTAGGGTTTTTTCTAAATTTCATTTTTGTTTAGCTTCGACTTTTTCATGTTCGAAGCTTGCCTTTTTCTTCTATTTTTCTAAATGCTTCAACTTTTTCAACACGCACAAAACTTGCCTTTCTTGGTTTATATTTTGTTTTCATCATTGGTGGAGGGATCCCATCCCATGATGATGTTATTTGCTGAATCTTTATTGACGAGTATTGTTTTGGAAGCCACTCCTAGCTTTGGTTAGGAAGCCATTCCTAGTCTTGGCATTCTCTTGGATCATCCTTCATTCGATTGAGGAGTAGGGCGCGATGGCCTTTTCATGCTTATAGACTTGCTTATTCTTCCTCTTTTGGTTCTATCCCGTCTTGCTGTTGATGTGTCTTTCTTTTCTTGGTGGCTGTATGAAACCACTTGTATGGAATGCCCTTGTTGGGGCTATGCTTTTTGGCATGATCTTAGCTCTTAAGGCACTGTCTAGTTGTTGATCTTTTTTACGAGTGCTTCAGCCTCTTGATTCCTCAGAAAAATGATGGATAGACACACACAAAGAATGCAAGAATGCAAAAGAAAATGTAAAGCAGGAATGAATTGGATTTTTTTTTTAAAAGTGAAGTTATACCCTTTTGTGCACACTTGTGCCATATGCATGTTATGCAATGATGCTTCTATGCTAATGCTTAAAATGCAAATTTATTTTTACTTTCAAGAAATTAATCTATGCGCATTGATCAATGACATGGATTGTTAGCCTTTAGCCTTGTCGAATTTAGTGTTGCTTCTTGAACCTGAGGTTTGTGTAGTTTGGCCTCTCGCTTCTACCGGATATGATATGTTAGCCCTTAGATCAGCTGTACCTAGACTCTGTTCTTGGACACCTCTATCTTTTTCTTGTGAGTGTTCACTATGTATACTGCATGTATCTCTCAAATTTATCTTAATGCCATATAGGTCAAGAGGAAAGAGAAGAAGGAGATATATACATATATTTTTTTTGCAAAAGTTTTGTTAGAAAGGATTTTTAAAAAAATGGTTTTTAGAAGAATGGCTGGCCGAGATAGGCTAGTGGTTTAGGCTGATGAACAAGTATAATCAAAGTGAGGAAATCATTTTCCGCAATAGCTCATTATTTCCTTCAAAGTTAAGCGATGACTTGGGAGCATGCCACATGCCAAAAGGGCAGTCCACTTTGTTATTTTTTATTTTTTTATTTTTTAAGATTATTTTTACAAATATAATAAAATAAAAACTACCCCATCATGAAAATCGATGTAGGCTGTATGAACACTGTTCAGAAATATATTCTTCTGATTGAGAATGGCCAACATAGGGATGTGCCTTGACTCATCAATTCACTGATACAATGTAGGTTCCTTAAGGAGCTGGACTTGCAGGAAAATGAAGTTGATGACCCCAAAGGCCAGTGGCTAAGCTGCTTTCCTGATTGTATATCACTTGTCTCTCTTAATTTTGCTTGCCTTAAAGGGCAAATTAACCTGGGGGCTCTTGAGGGACTTGTAGCCAGATCTCCTAACCTTAAAAGTTTAAGGTTAAACCATACCGTGCCCCTCAGTGCACTCCAAAGGATATTGAGTAGAGCACCTCAGCTAGTGGACTTGGGAATTGGGTCATTTGTCCATCATCCAGCTTCTGAGACCTGCACTAACCTAAAGAATACCATTAAAAAGTGCGACTCAATAACCAGTTTGTCAGGATTTTTCGAGGTTGCTCCTCGCTGTCTCTCAGTTATATATCCTATTTGTAAGAACTTAACAGCCTTGAACCTGAGCTATGCAGCAGGGATTCAAAGCAGATTTTTAATAAAACTAATTCACTTCTGTGGGAAGCTTCAGCGTTTATGGGTAAATATATCAACCTAAGTGTCTTCTTATAATTTATGTTCTTATGTTGGTTAATATCAATAGTTTCACTCTGGTGCAGATAATGGATTGCATTGGGGATACAGGACTAGGTGTTGTAGCTTCCCGATGTAAAGATTTGCAAGAACTAAGGGTTTTTCCGTCTGTTCGTATTGCTGGAGATGACCCTTCAGGAGTATCAGAAAAAGGACTTGTTGCAATCTCTGAGGGTTGCCCTAAGCTTCACTCATTGCTCTACTTCTGCAGGCAGATGACAAATGCTGCCCTCATAACTGTGGCTAAAAACTGCCCAAATTTCATCCGTTTTAGGCTGTGTATCCTCTATCCAACAAAACCTGACCCTGATACAATGCAGCCACTTGATGGCCACTGCTAGGTCTACCCTGAATTATCATCATTACTGTTTTTAGATTCTCAAATCTGTGCTCTTTTCTTCTTTCCTCACTTTTTAACCTGTTCTTTTTTTATTTTTAATCTATATAATCATCATCCTTTCATTTGTAGATCATAATATTTTGTTTGATTTCCTTCCGCACCACTTTTTCTCTCTTCATTTTCCTCTTTATTTTCCAAGAAAATTTTTCTCCTGTAGACTTTCAATATTTGTGAATACCCTTTTGCTTTTTTCAGTCACTGCCCTTTCGATTTGTTTATTTTTCAATTTATCAGTCTTGTTTAGGGCAATACTTTTTTTTTTTTTTTTGAAAAGTTTTGTTTTCTGGTTACATCGTTTTTCTCTGATATACTGCCCGGAAAGAATCTCAATGGTTTGATCATGACAGTGTATTGAAGGTTGAAAGTTCAAATTTGCTACCAGTTAACTTTTTTTGCAAGTGTTTTCTCTTTGATTTGACCCTTTTGTTAGGGTTTCTTTGAAAATTTTCTAAAGAAAATTGATAGCTTACGGAGAGAGATGAATTGTTTTCCTGATGAGGTGATTGAGCTCATATTTGACTATGTGACTTCACAAAGGGACAGAAATGTGATCTCTCTGGTGTGCAAAAACTGGTACAGGTTAGAGAGATGCAGTAGGAAGAGTGTTTTCATAGGGAACTGTTACTCCATAAGTCCTGAGAGAGTGATAGAGAGGTTTCCTGAACTAAAGTCCTTAGCTTTGAAAGGAAAACCTCATTTTGCTGATTTCAATCTGGTTCCTCGAGGTTGGGGTGGTTTTGTGTATCCTTGGATTGAAGCATTTGCCAAGAGCAAGGTAGATTTGGAGGAGTTGAGGCTGAAGAGGATGGTGGTCACGGATGAGGGCCTGGAGCTACTTACCCGTTCTTTCATGAATTTCAAATCTCTGGTTCTTGTTAGTTGTGAAGGGTTCACCACTGTTGGCCTTGCAGCTATAGCTGCAAATTGTAGGTGAGATGAATAACTTGGATTGGATATTATGTTGCTGCTATTATGATACCACCATGATTTTGTGTGTTTTCTTTTCAATTTGTCATGTTTTGTAGTTTGCCATTTGAGTTTTGTTTTTGTAATTGATGGTTCATGCTTGTTTGGGTATTGGAAGGATACTACCCGAAGGAATTTAGCAACTAGTTGCTGATTTGGATGTTGTGTCTGTCAAGTTTTGATTTGTTAGTTAATTAATAGTTTTTACTATTTTTTTCAATCTGGTATGAGGTTATTGATTTTTGTTTATGCATAGCTGATAACTTACTGACATGTCTTGGCTTGTTTGTTATTAAGTTCTCTCTATGTGAAATACTTCCCTCAAATACCATGAATTTACATGGTGTAGCTGGGGGTAGAGATGAACACTGTTCAGAAATATATTCTTCTGATTGAGAATGGCCAACATAGGGATGTGCCTTGACTCATCAATTCACTGATACAATGTAGGTTCCTTAAGGAGCTGGACTTGCAGGAAAATGAAGTTGATGACCCCAAAGGCCAGTGGCTAAGCTGCTTTCCTGATTGTATATCACTTGTCTCTCTTAATTTTGCTTGCCTTAAAGGGCAAATTAACCTGGGGGCTCTTGAGGGACTTGTAGCCAGATCTCCTAACCTTAAAAGTTTAAGGTTAAACCATACCGTGCCCCTCAGTGCACTCCAAAGGATATTGAGTAGAGCACCTCAGCTAGTGGACTTGGGAATTGGGTCATTTGTCCATCATCCAGCTTCTGAGACCTGCACTAACCTAAAGAATACCATTAAAAAGTGCGACTCAATAACCAGTTTGTCAGGATTTTTCGAGGTTGCTCCTCGCTGTAAAAACATTACTAGTAGCACTTGACCTTGAAATTTTGTGTGATTTTTCTTGAGGTTTGCTTGCTGTCCAGTGGCTGGAAAAAGACTTTTAAACCATCAAAACATTAGCACAAATTTTGTTTTGGTTTTTTTTAATCAATTCTAGAGCCATTCCTAGGATTATTCTTTTGTGTGCTAGCTTTTGAAATTAGCCTTTAATTGTTGCTTTGTGTCTTCTTGGCTCTCTTTGTTTTGTCACATTAATTCCTATAAGAGTGTAGCCTATTCTAATTGTGCTTTTCAGTTTTAATTTCTTGGCCTCTACTCTCTTTTGATTGATTGTTAAGCCTTGGTGAGATATAATTCTTTTTCAAGCTATTACACTTGGAAGGAAGGGCTAATTGAGACATATTGGGTTAATCTCAAAGGGGTCAACACTTGAAGGAGATTGAGGTACAGATTACTTGAGTGAAACACCTTGGAAAGGCTCACTTGTTTGTTCAGACGTAAAAAGTCCAATCTATGTCGGAGGTGTGTTGCGTCCAACGTAGATTGGACTTTTTACGTCGGACCCTACCAGGTCCGACGTAAAAAAGGACGCAAATTTGAATAAGAGAGCGCGAGGCACACCGCGCCCATTCACTCTTCATCACTTTTCATTTTTTTCTCTCTAAACCCTCTCCCTCTCCTTTGTTACTGAGTCATTTTTTTGTCTTTTTCAGAGGAATGAACTCTTTGTTACTCATTTGCACATTGTTGTTGCTTCTTAGGTATGAATCAAGGTTTCGTTAGCACTTTTCTACTTCGCATTGCTACTCTGGCTATCTGTTTTATTTGATTTTTTGGTTGTTCTATTTGTGTAGGTAGTGAGAGTTTTCTTTTGGGTTGTTATACGAAGCTGAATGGCTTGTTCTGCAAGCAGAACGGGCCGTTCTGCTGGCATTTTTATGTTTTTTTTTTATTTATTTTTTTTCCTACTTTTTTACGTCGGATGTCTTAATGTCCGACGTAAATTTACGTCGGTTTTGAAGATTCGACGTAAAATTTACGTCTCCCGCTTCTACGTCGGTACTTTTTCTGACGTAAAAAGCTGAAAATGTCCGACGTAATACACCTCTTTTGTACTAGTGTTGGAAGGAAAAATTAATTGAGACACATTGGATTAATCTTAAAAGGGTCAACACTCGAAGAAGATTGAGGTACAAATTACTTGAGTGAAACACCTTGGAAAGACTCACTTGTTTGTTCCTTTTTTTGCAGCCAAGACTTGTTTTTAATTTTAGGGCAAATTGGAGACGGATTTTTGAAGGGAATTAGAGACGGATTTGGAAGGTTGTGACGGATGTGTGGAGTTCCTCATCTTCCTACATTTTGGTCACTAAACTTGTTGCAAAAGCTGATCCAAATTCAGTCTTCAAGACCTTTGAAGAGACTATTCAATTTCTTTTGATTTGTATTAATTTCTTGTTGTAATTCATGATAAAGATCAATGGTGGTGAAAATTGATTATGTTGTTTTTTAATGTCTATTTCTTTCTAATCCTGCTGGACTTTGGCTGACCCTTGAAAGTTCTCTTGAATTCTGGATTTGGCCACAAAGTTGGACCAGTGTAAGTAGGCCAATAATTTTCATGTCGGAGTTTTCCAAACTGTCATTCGTATACCTTTGCAACTTATTGTAAGGTATATATGGGAGATATGTAGGTTTGATAGTCGTGATGTGCATCTAAGCATGAAGCGAGTACATGCGAGCAAGGGTTATGAACTTCCTAGAACTTGCCGCAATCACATCACATTACATTTAGTCTTATTGTAAATCTCCCAGCAGGTCATACGTTCAAGGGATATGAACTTTCTGGAACTTGCTGCAATTATACCACATTTCATTTAGCCTTTAATGTAAATCTCCCGGCGGGTCAAACTTCTCTCGGATGTTGCGTTTCTTCCAACTTTGTAGCCAAATCTAGAACTCAAGAGAACTTTCAAGGGTTAGCCAAAATCCAGTAGGATTATAACATAGATGGACATTAGAGAATGACAAAATTGTGTAAAAAAAATGTTCCTATTATCACACCCCTGGTCACACTAGGAAGACATCCAAATATTAGTCATGAATTCAGTTTTCGCTACCATTGATCTTTATTGTTGTAATGAATTTTAATAAATTTATTTAGTTATATTTATAATGTTAATATTCAATAAATTTAATCACTTGATGGTAGTCTCTGAGTTTTAGTATTTGATAAGTGAAAACGAAAAAAAAATGGTCTGAATCTGTAGGCTAGAATGGTCCGTTCTGGATTTAGAACGGTCCGTTCTGGTTTCACTTTTTATGTGCCAATTTTGAATTTGGAACGGCCCGTTTTGATTCATTCGTCATGTGTTATTTTTTAATCTAGAACGGTCTGTTCTGAAATCAGAACGGCCTGTTTTGAAAGTGAATAATAAATAGTGCTAGTTGAAAAAATAAATTTGCACAGTTGTTATTTAGGTAAATTTTTTTTTTAAAATAGTATTATTTAAGTAACAAACTCTCAGCGTCCTCTTATTTATTTTTCGATCTCAATAGTCAATGCACCCACAACTAGGGCCCAAAGAAAACTATTATTAAGATGGAAAAATACCACTGAAGCCTTGGGGTGAATGGAATATTTTGATATATTGCTACTAGTTTCAAAATGTTATTACCATTCGATAACATTGGCTCCAACTTCATACTGGTTTGATTGAACTTTAGTTTCAATTTTCAAGCTAAGTGATCATGGTTCATATTTCCTGCTGTCTTTACTATACGATATTTTACCATTTATCAATTTTATTGGGTTGATTGACCATTGTACGGTAATTTCCAAAACTAATTACGTAAATGAGGCTCATTTGAAACTATTTACGTCTCTGGAACAGTTTACCATGGTATTGCTATGGGGCCATAGCGGCACTAGTGTCACGTGTAATTTTTTTTTGAAGCCATGAACGTCATATTATTAAAGTCGCTATAGCCGGTAGCGCTTCATATAAAGTCGCTATAGCCTATAGCAACACAATTTGGCTTCATATAAATTTTATTTGGCTGACCCTTGAAAGTTCTCTTGAATTCTGGATTTGGCCACAAAGTTGGACCAGTGTAAGTAGGCCAATAATTTTCATGTCGGAGTTTTCCAAACTGTCATTCGTATACCTTTGCAACTTATTGTAAGGTATATATGGGAGATATGTAGGTTTGATAGTCGTGATGTGCATCTAAGCATGAAGCGAGTACATGCGAGCAAGGGTTATGAACTTCCTAGAACTTGCCGCAATCACATCACATTACATTTAGTCTTATTGTAAATCTCCCAGCAGGTCATACGTTCAAGGGATATGAACTTTCTGGAACTTGCTGCAATTATACCACATTTCATTTAGCCTTTAATGTAAATCTCCCGGCGGGTCAAACTTCTCTCGGATGTTGCGTTTCTTCCAACTTTGTAGCCAAATCTAGAACTCAAGAGAACTTTCAAGGGTTAGCCAAAATCCAGTAGGATTATAACATAGATGGACATTAGAGAATGACAAAATTGTGTAAAAAAAATGTTCCTATTATCACACCCCTGGTCACACTAGGAAGACATCCAAATATTAGTCATGAATTCAGTTTTCGCTACCATTGATCTTTATTGTTGTAATGAATTTTAATAAATTTATTTAGTTATATTTATAATGTTAATATTCAATAAATTTAATCACTTGATGGTAGTCTCTGAGTTTTAGTATTTGATAAGTGAAAACGAAAAAAAAATGGTCTGAATCTGTAGGCTAGAATGGTCCGTTCTGGATTTAGAACGGTCCGTTCTGGTTTCACTTTTTATGTGCCAATTTTGAATTTGGAACGGCCCGTTTTGATTCATTCGTCATGTGTTATTTTTTAATCTAGAACGGTCTGTTCTGAAATCAGAACGGCCTGTTTTGAAAGTGAATAATAAATAGTGCTAGTTGAAAAAATAAATTTGCACAGTTGTTATTTAGGTAAATTTTTTTTTTAAAATAGTATTATTTAAGTAACAAACTCTCAGCGTCCTCTTATTTATTTTTCGATCTCAATAGTCAATGCACCCACAACTAGGGCCCAAAGAAAACTATTATTAAGATGGAAAAATACCACTGAAGCCTTGGGGTGAATGGAATATTTTGATATATTGCTACTAGTTTCAAAATGTTATTACCATTCGATAACATTGGCTCCAACTTCATACTGGTTTGATTGAACTTTAGTTTCAATTTTCAAGCTAAGTGATCATGGTTCATATTTCCTGCTGTCTTTACTATACGATATTTTACCATTTATCAATTTTATTGGGTTGATTGACCATTGTACGGTAATTTCCAAAACTAATTACGTAAATGAGGCTCATTTGAAACTATTTACGTCTCTGGAACAGTTTACCATGGTATTGCTATGGGGCCATAGCGGCACTAGTGTCACGTGTAATTTTTTTGGACCAGTGTAAGTAGGCCAATAATTTTCATGTCGGAGTTTTCCAAACTGTCATTCGTATACCTTTGCAACTTATTGTAAGGTATATATGGGAGATATGTAGGTTTGATAGTCGTGATGTGCATCTAAGCATGAAGCGAGTACATGCGAGCAAGGGTTATGAACTTCCTAGAACTTGCCGCAATCACATCACATTACATTTAGTCTTATTGTAAATCTCCCAGCAGGTTCCTCTTAGGGCAAAAGTTGGTGTCTTGATGATTGTGGAGTTCTTTACCCTAAACTCTTTATGCATGGCTTACTTTCCATTACTTCTGACTAACGCACATAGGTTAATTTTCCCTTTTTTATTCTCATTTATTCTTTTACAAGGTGTGACACCCTCTACCCCAACATACATATATAGTAATTACACTAGGAAGACATCCAAATATTAGTCATGAATTCAGTTTTCGCTACCATTGATCTTTATTGTTGTAATGAATTTTAATAAATTTATTTAGTTATATTTATAATGTTAATATTCAATAAATTTAATCACTTGATGGTAGTCTCTGAGTTTTAGTATTTGAT